TACTGGCAGCGCGAGCCAGTTACTTATAGTAACTTATAGTAACTGGCTCGCGCTGCCAGTAATTACGCCGCGGGATATTCAGTGCACAGACCGGGATCATAAGACATACCGAAAATAGAAAATAGAAAATAGACATTGCATGTGAACGAAGCCTAAGTGCATGGACGTTGTTTATGACCGAAGCTTAGACGTCCTTGAAATTGAATGTCTCATATCACTTTAATGAAACATCTCACCCTTTAAATTTAGTCTCTAAACTACAGCATAATAATGTTACTTACAAAATAAAACTGTTAAAATCAGGACGACAGCTCGAGCCGCTGAATGCGCTGTAATCGGTTGTTGTAGCAACGGTGCAGAACTGGGTCATTTACTGGATCGGTTTTAAAACTAGGTCACCTACCAGGGGGTATTGGGTGTCCAGATTGCTCAATATCGTTTTGCAAACATAGGTTCTTATTCTGGGCCTTGTTATTGAACACCAAATGGTTCAATTTACCATGTTTGAGATGTGATATCATTATTATTGATCTCGATAATTCAAAGAAAAATCTAATTTGTTGACTACATCTAAACACGTTACATAACCTTTCGTTATTCTTACGTAATTCTCACTCATAAATATACATGCATGACACATGCACCTCAGCAGTTTTGACTTCGTTTAAAGGTGCACAATGAGCAATTCAATTTCAGTGGTAATTGCAACACTTTCCCATTAGTCATTAAGATATAAAATATTTGAGTTAATTATATATAAGTTCATTCGTGTTGTAATGAAGGATTAATAAATTAAGAGAAAATATTTTAAAAAATTTTAATTAGAGAAAAAAATTAATCATTGTAAAAAACAGCTGTTAGGGAAAAACCATGGTCAAGCTTAAAGTTCATTATATATTTATTGTCTCAAAATGGCAACATAATAAAGACAAATTATTATAAATGATATTGTTATAGAGGCCCGGTTATTTAAAGTTTATTTATCAAAGTTAATTCACAGGAGAAGATTTCAATTGTTTTAAAAATAATCATCTGAAAATATGCTGAAAGCTTTTATACCGTAGTGCAGTATGTATCAAAAAACAGTATTTTCATTTGGACGGATCAACTGCATCACAAAAGAACTGTTGCAACATCAAGAGCCAATACTGTATATCTAAATGTATCTTTAATGCTAGTACAATCAATTCACCACTGTCTTTTAGCAAACAGGAAACAATATTGCTTAATTTCTACAAAAAAAGTTGGAAGTATACAAATCTTTTCAAATGTTCTGTAACCACCAATAAAATTAAGCCACCTTTCAGGTAAACATTAAAGAAACTAAAAACATTTTTGAACTTTGAGTTTAAAAGAAATACACTGACAAAGTTATGTAAATATAAAAAAATAACACTAAAAAGAATAAAAAAAAGAACATTTATGAGCAGTTCTTACTGCAGATACATACCTCTTGAAGTCAGAAATTTCAAAATTATAATCTATATTCTTTTTAAAGTAAACAAGTTAAAAAGGACAAATGTATCTTAAATTGACAACAAATGTCTCTACTACATATCAATAAGCAAATTAATATAAATTAATTGCAAATGAATTCAAACTACAATTATTACAAAACTAGCTTTCAATCCCCCTTATATGATGGTAATTTTCTATCAGCTGTCTGTGTTAATATGCATACAGAATATTCAAGTTTTAGGCATTTATGTTTTTCCTTGGACCCGACATACACGTATCAAATGTTTTTACTATAAAAAAAAAGAATCATTCTTCAGTTGCACAACTGTATATTAGTGTACTTGTACTTCTATGAATCAAGTTCCCAATCAATATATCTTTAGATCTTTTCTTCAAGAAACAGAAACTTTATAATTTTTTTGCATCTGTAAACATTGTATGGTTAAACTTGAGAGTTATGTTTGCTAACTGAGAATTTTCCAAGAAATTTGTGATACATTTATTGTTTGTTGATGCCCCCCCCCCCCCAAAAAAAAAAAAAATAATAAAAAAAAAAAAAAATAAATAATAAAATTTAAAAAAATTCAGACATTGCTGTATAAGGGACCATTCCCACAGATATTTGGGTTGATCCATCTCCCTGGGGAGGCTCACTAAATTGCTATCAAACTAACCAGCTCAAACGTCTGTTAAACTGTTAGGGGGTAATTATCTTTAACCCTAGCTGATTCAGTAGTCGTGACAGACATTTAAGCCTCTTGAGCTGATAGCAATTTAGCGGGAACCCCCAGGGAGTTAGGTCAATCCAGATGGATCGATCTAAGTATGAAAAACCAGTCTTAGTCTTACAGGTTAAAATTTTGATCTTTTGTTAAGAGAGGGATGCTTAAGCCATGTACAAACTTTGTTAACCTGGGACAACTTTCTGTACATAGGACACAAACTACAGTAGTCTACAAATATAGGGTCGATAGAAAGAGCTTATTTTTATTTTTTAAAAAATATGATGTTTAACTGGCAAAGCAGTTAAATTTGAAGGTCAGGTGCATTACATTTCCTCAAAATTAGGATTGGCCATATTCATAAACCATCTTATAAATTTTGTCTGGCCTTATTAAAATCTTATTTTTCACAAAAAATGAGTCAACAATTCTGCACGTATCACATGGTATTGATGTGTATTCTTATTGCATATGTTTTCTCTAAGAGTTCAGCTGGTGGAAGAGGGTTCTTTGTAATAATCACAAACTTGAAGTTCTGCACTCTATTTTCTATAAATTTATTCTTGTCATATTCTTGGGGATCACCTTTCCTCAGCAGGCATGTGTATCTACAACAGAGAATATACGGTTTTGTCATTACACATATATATGGTAAATTAAGGTTGAACTGGTTCATGACTGCATGTATGAAATATTCAGTAATGTTACCCTATTGTAATGAAATTTAATGTAATGTTTATTTTTCAAAGTAAGTATTTACTATTAGCTACAAAATGTAAAGGTACCCAGTGACAAACTATACTATCCCAATGAAATTTGGCACTTTCTGAACTTACGCCTCATCCTTCAGTAGACTTTTGTCCATGATCATATTCATCAGGCCTTTGTGTACTTCATCAAATCTGTCAGATACAGTGTCAAACATATCTACCTCCATCATGTCCAGGACAAGAGACTTCCCGTACCTGTATGTAATAAGGTTGAGACTGTTAAGAATAGAATTACATTTATTTAACATGATGATATAACTAAACAAAAATGAAACCCTACAGACCACAATTCGCCACCTTTGTTCATGTGACACTAATTTTGCTATTGACAAATATAAATAGAAATTGTTTTTTTTTCAGGAAAGGGAAATCTTTCTTACCTGACTGAACCAAGAACTGCTAGCCTGACTTTTTCAGGTTCCATCTGTGCAGGATTCAAGGCATTCAAGTAGTTGGTGTCCCTGTATCTCAGGAACGTCGCCGCCTGAGATGAGGGGTCAATCAACAAAGGCCACCTGCAAGCCATTCATAAAGACAAGCAATAACTTCAGATCCAATACTCCAGAAAACAGTAAAAAAGTTTTTTTTAATGATATTGCAACCCAAAGTGTATTAATGTTTCTGTCTCCGCATTAGAATTAGGACCAGTATTTGGATATTTTTCATAGAAAATGTATATCTTCGCTGTCATACTAGAGTCCATATGCAAATATTGTTTGATAATCCCCTTTTGATAAAAAGCAGCAAAGCTAATGTTTCTCTTCAACTTTTACCCGAAGTGAAATAAACTTATTGTATTGTATTATATTCAAATAAACAGTTTGTGTTTGTGTGAAGCAAATGTGTCCACTTACTTGCCAGATTCTTTGATTTTATTGCCTACATCCCTGAGGAGCACATCGTCTAACTCCTTGATGTTCACCTTTATGCCAGGCAAATCCTCTTCTGCCATCCCCTCTGAAATATTGAACATTGGATTAAAGATGCTAATATTCATATCAAATATGACTTTTTATAGCAATTCACAAATTGTCATTGCTAACACAATTTTATTATCTCCCAATTTAAAAAAGGAGCAGTCATTTTAATGCCTAAATCTCATCTAATTTTAAACTGAAATATGCTCTCACTCTCCATTACCAAAATAAGTCATACTCATAAATACAATGACTTTGTAATTTAAATAAAATGGATAAAATAAACAACTAGCAAGTTTTGATGTTCAATTTTCCCTCTTCAAAATCAAAGTCAACAGGTAGGTAAAATCTAAGTCATACCTTTTTCTTTCTCTCTTAACTTCAGTTTTAGTTGAGCTAATTTCTCTCTAGCTTTTTCACAGTTGATTTTTGCAACCTCCACATCTGCTTCAGAATCATGGATCATCTATAGCACAATTTAAAAAAAAATCTGTCTTCAAAACTTGCTGTCATGATAAGTTTGGAACAAGAATCCATGATGGAATTTTATCTGTGTCAGTGAACAAAATTTTTGATAAATTTATTGTATTAAAAAAGGGTACTTTAAAAAAATTTTTTTTTCTTCAAAAAGTAATTACAGATACAAAATATCTACCCACAGAATTTTTATAAATATACCAGTTTAGTTAAAGTATAAAATAAATGAAAAACTGTAAACTGTCATCCCACCTGTAAAGTAATATCTGTCTTTGCAAATCCTTCAGTAACAGCTTTGTCATGCTCTGTGATCCTTTTGTTCATTTCACAATATTCTTTATTAAGCTAGATAAAAGAAACAGAATTTCTCAGTCAATTAACAGAGCTATTAAATCACAACCATTTGGTTCATCACCTCTCTTTGGGTTATGCATGCATTAATACTATGCTTTTTCACCATTTTTCACAGATAATACCACATAAGTGAGTACACCTCCATAAAACATCTAATATCAATTTCAAGACAAACTAAAAAAAAATTGGGAAACTATTTTGTAAATCAGTAACTTTTCAACTCACAGTTTTTTGTGCAATATCATATTCTTTCT